GGGTCTTACTCTTTCTTTTTTCCTTCTGCTCAAAATACGGTTTATGTTGCATTGAATTTGCATTAAGTCTATGAGGATCTTCTTTTCAAAGTCGACTGGGAGGTGATCAGTTGTATGCCTGACGAGTTGACACTAACTATGTTGGAAATGGATCGTGTGCACGCACGTACACGGACGACCGTCGAAAGTGCGGTCATTGTGTATACGCGTGTCTGCATGATCCGCCCCGAACCTAATTGCCCCTTGAATACTAGGATGAATGAATTTAGTCTTTCTCGCGAGATATGGAAATCATCATTCATGTCTGGGTCACTGACCGCGACCATCTAAAGGACCCCGAGTACGAAGAATACTGGGAGAACGAACAACTCTTCCGCCGATCAAACTTTAGTCTTTCAGCCTATCCCTGCCAAACAGAAAACGATCGGTTGTGCCTTAGACTTCCAGAGGGTTGTCGGACGAAACCCCCGAATCCCGGATTACCCCGACACATGTAACCACCAGTATTATGTGAAACCAGTATTCGTCACCATCAAAACTAACTTCCCTCCATTCTATCTCCTTCTCCCATATCACAATCTGACGGTCATCCCTTGGGACGCGATAGCCCCCTACTGTTCGTCGCCATCGAAACTAACTTCCCTCCATTCTATCTCCTTCTCCCGTATCACAATCTGACGGTCATCCCTTGGGACGCGATAGCCCCCTACTGGCCCCGAAGGCCGTGCTCTGAGTGCCAACAGTACTATAGGTATCGGGTTGGGGGATTTATTAGACGAACCCGTTCCGTAGCTAAGCGCAGAGAACACAGTCTCTGACTAAGGCTGTCCACATTCCTAGATCTGCGGAACCTGTCGGCGACAAGTGTTTACACAGAGAGACACTCACTGTGTTCCCTCTGTACACAAAGTACGAACCCGCCCCGGGCGACGGGGCCGGCGAAACTAGCCGCCCGGTTCTGAAAAGGGTAGAACAGAAAAATCTAGTCCTCCGCCGGGGCACTTTCACTTCGGTCCCTGAAACTTAACACTGGAGATCCCAGTTCCAACCTGGGACTCCACCCTCTCCTAAAATCCTCGACACGCCCCTTTTTACACACTTCAGGGCCCACTCCCACTCCGAAACAGGAAGTTGCGCAGGGCGTGAGGTTACTGGCCGTCACAACACCACTAGATTTCACCCCACAACCAACTCCACAACCAACTCCACAACCCCAACAACTGAAAAGTCAATGAAAATTATAATCAAAACCTAAGTTCATTACCAAGAAACTTTAATCACAACTGTCGCGACAACCCTAACTTAGTGTCACTCTCTGTTACATGTTGCGCCTGCAACAGGCTGCACGGGCCATTTTCAGGCCCGTGTCGTTTTCAGCCTGAAAGCCTGAAAACAAGGGCCTACAGGCCCTGTATCGTGTCAGCCTGAAAGCCTGAAAACAAGGGTCTACAGGCCCTGTGTCATTTCAGCCTAAAACAGGGCCCTCCTGGCCCTGAGTCTTTTCAGCCTGAAACGGAGGGCCATTCTCAAGCCCTCATAAGATCGACCTGCCCTGAAACTTAGGCACCAGACCAGGGTTTTAGCACAGGCCATTTTAGGCCTGTTTTCAAGACAACCTTTGGTTGAGCCTCAACGCCAGGGTCTGGCACGTTTTGGCATTGGCAAGAGCAACCTCCTGGGTCCAGTTGATGTAGCTCAGTGGTTAGAGCACCGGTTAGAAATGCGCATTGTGGTATAAGGTTGCGGGTTCAAAACTCAATTGCAGCCTTGCGCATGGACACCGACAGGGCGTTATAATGACGCACGGCTGGACACACACCCCCTTGGGATGACGCACGGTAAACTTATACAGACACTGCCTGCGCACCACCCAAGGGGTTGTCCATGGTGTTGTACGTCGGGTCTTGATACTGCGTGGGTTGCTTGTGGCTGTTGCTCGTGGTTGTTCTGTTGATCTCCCCAGTCTGGCATATCACACACAGGGGTCGTTTGCGGTTGTTGCTCAAATGGTAGAGACTTCATGACACATGTCATAGATCACGGGTTCAAGTCTGGCTTGGGACTTTGGGGGGGGTTCTTGTCCAGCTTGGCCTGTCACCTCTTCGAAAAATGAACACATTGTTCCCTCTACATAGTACTGCACATATCTGGCCTTCGGGCACATATATCGTATACAGTTACACAGAGCACGCATAGCCTTCGGGCAGACACAAAAAACATGGCCCTATGGGCCCATACAAACATACATAGCCTCTGGCTACACACATATATACACACAACTACGATACTGGGTTGGGGGGTCTATCAGGTATATGACGGGGTCTACACATGCATCGCTTAGCTCTAGGGTAGGGCAGGGATATAAGTCGCTCCGGTTAGTCTGAGTTCCGCCTAGCCTTGGGTAAGCTAGGGGAAGGATGGTAGGATATGTCCGCGGGCGCTGGTCTGCCTTGCTTAGGTAATCCTGTAGGGTAGACTCTCTGAATTGGGCCTGTAGAAGATTTCATGAGCCTGGCGTCCGAAGTTCCCATACGGCAAGGTTCGTCCGATTCCGCTTCCATTAGGGCTGGGAAGTTGGCCCAGCCCTGGTGCTTGTCACTGCTGTCTGGTCCAAGTTGCCCTCAATACTGGTAGGGTGATGGTCCTGAGTGCTGGTCACACTGAGGTAGGATAGTAGGGACAAGGGGTGTGATGGGAGTATTAACGTGGGGTGGGTAGGGTAGGTGGCCTATCCTGTCAGGACAACCATTGGCTGCTGCTACCAGCAATCACCGCGGGTCTGGTCCTTGGCCTCTACAACACCCTGGGCTTTTTTTTTCAAAAAAAAAAAAAAAAAAAGGAAGAGCAGCCTCCTAGACGGGCCAGCACTATATAGGATTGGCCCGCCCTGCAGGCTGCAGGTAATTCATAGGGACTTCCCATGCACTTCATGTGCAGTTCAGGAGGCAGGAGGTAGTCTTCAGGATTCGGCAGCATCACTCCGGAGGAGCGCTGCAGGAGTAGTAGCGTTAGCAGTAGTCTTTAGTGCTAGGCGCTAGTAGGAGCTAGAGTAGTACTGGAGAGAGAGAGAGAGAGATTGGGCGGAGGCCAGGGAGACTTACCTGCAGCGCCATAGCTCCAGCTTCGTCTTCGAGGTACCTGCAGCACAGCGCCATCTTCACAGGTTAGTACCTGGCACATGGGAGAGAGAGAGTTCTTCTTCTTCCTCTTCTCAGTCCACCATCTCCCTCTCACCCTCTCGCTACCTGACTTCACTGCATCAGATGACTACGAGAGAGCGGGATTGGTGACATTTGGATCCAGACTCGACATTGGGCTTCAAACATTTTTACGAGGGATTATTTGGGACTTGTAACGAAGACTTAGTGTTAACGACATTCCCATCCTCCCCCCCCTCTTCTTCGTCTGATTCCCTCCTTTTCGTCTATGCATGATTTGGACCTGGCGCATTCTTCCTGTGTGTAGCGCCAGGCCCCTTCACACCTTGTGATGAGGATAATGTATGTTTGGTCTGTGTTGCGACATTGATTGGGGAAGTCATTGGTATTTTAGCATTCTGCTGCGTTGTCTTGCACTACGTGATAGAGGTCAGTCCCGGTCAGGTCAGGGCTTATATCTAAGTCTTCCACTGCGCTACACCCTGCTTGTTGAGATTCCACTAGCACTGCATTGTCCATTCAGTCTTTTTTATCGCATTGTGGATCCTTGGTTATATATGTACATCGCCCAACTGGGCATGTAACAGCCGGTATCGGAACACCGCACGTGAATCAGGACAACCTAATCTGACACGTGTGCGGGGACTAATTAGTTGATTAGTCTTGATTGATTGATTGACTGATTATAGCACACTAATTAGCACTCAAAATCACGATGTTCACCTCACTGCCGAAAATCGATTTTTTTTTTTTTTTCTTGGATTTTGTTTCCCGCTATTTCTGTTGTGGAAAAAATCGCAATAGCGCAACACCTGAAATTTTCGTTTTCGTTTTTCTTCTGAAAATTCGAAATTTTGCTGTTGAAAATCCGGAATATCTTTTTTTCTAAAAATTTGATTTCCTGTTGCAATGTCCCGTTATTTGAAAATCCATGATTTTTTTTTTTTTCGAAATTCGGTTTTTTGAAAACGGTACGGGAATTCCCTCTTGCAGTTACCATTTTCCAAACTGCGCGTATTCTCATCTAAGTAATTCCGAATGATTTTTTTTTTTTCTTTTCAGAACTCTTTTTATTCGTAGTTCTATGATTTTCACTATCTGATAATCATTGGCAGTCTGAAAGTTCGAATTTGTTTTTCTCATTGACAATTTCGCACTTCAAGGGAGATTGGGAGACCTACTGAACTTGCAAAACTCGGGATTTTTTTTTTCTCGATTTTTTTTCAAAGTTCAAACTTTTCTTTTTGATTAATGGCTCCTTATCTGGGCAATTTATCCCACCCACCCCTCCCCACCTATGTTGTTGCCCCCTCTGGTCTTATCTTCTCTATCTGTCTCCGGGTACCCTTGTTGCGGCATTTGTAAGTTGCCACGTCATCAGGCCACGTCAGCAGACCACGTTAGCAGACCACGTTAGCAGACCACATCAGCAGAGCACGTCAGCAGGACACATCAGCCGGCAGCAGTGCCACGTCAGCAGCAGGGAGTGCCACGTCAGCAGTCCTCCGGCCTGATCTATGCTCGCGTGCTTACAAACAGCCGGTATGGATCATAAGCCCGAGGAAACAGTCGAGGCCTATCAGGCCCGGATGACGGCTTTGTTTACCAAAGCCAAGAAACGGGTGGATGAGGTAGCAGCCGCAGAGAAGAAGAAGGCAGAGGACGCCGAGGAGGCACGTCTGTTGACAATCGAACAGAAGAGTCAGCAAGACGAGGCAGCAGCAAAGACTGCCGATGAAGAACGAAATCAACGACGCGAGAAGATATTCAACGGAGAGCGAGTTTTGCTCACAATGGTAGAAGACTAGCGAGTTGAGGCCGAGAATGGTAAGATGGAAAAGAGTGAAAGCAAGATCGCTTTACTCCTCTCCTATTTCACGGATCTCCTTGCAACGTGCATTGCACAGCAGGAGGACATCCATAGCCTCGACGGCACGGATCAGATGCACAACCAGGTGTTAGCTCAACTCAACAACCGCCTCCAGCACCTGGAGCAACGACTCGTCGCCGCCCCCGATGCCAGCTCCTCCAACACCTCTGATCGCCTCAATGCATTGGAGATCAACGTCGGCGCCCTCAAGGACGACACGCAGCTACAGCAAACCGCCACGCAACAACTGGAGCAGCGAATCTGTGTTGCCGCCGCCAACCCGAGTTTGGCACCGCGCGAGACGACTCCAAGGTTCGATGATCAGGAGATCTTCTGCGATTCGACGAAGACAGACCCGATTTCATGGTTCCGCAGGTTCGAGCTCAAGTTGCAGTTACACCACGTCGGCGAGGACAAGCATCACACGTACTTATACTCCCGGTCGGGGGGCGCGTGCCAAGCATGGTTGGACAATCTCTTGTCCAAGTACGGGGTGGTGGTTGCCGACTTGTACACCAAGATCAGTTGGGAAGATATAAAGGCGGTGTGGCATAAGCGGTTCCAAGTAGAGCCACCGGAGATGAAGGCAATGGACAAATTAATGACCTTCGAACAAGGCACGCTGCCCAGTGTTGACTAGATTGCCAAGTACCAACGCTTGACATGCGTCCCAGACATTCAAATAGGCTTCAAAACCGTCAAACACTACTTCATCTCGAGGTCGTGTCCGACATTGGGCAACGCCTTGACTCACGTCGAGGACACCCTGACAACAACGGCGGAGCTCTTCGACAAGGCCGCGCAGATTATTGTCACGAACAAAGAGGCCAAGAACCTCAACCGTTCGTCTGCGACAGGCCCGAGCAGAGATTAGCATCGACTGAAAATGGTCGTGGTCGCGGCAGCAACGCCAAACGGCCAATCTAGTGACGTTGTGTTTGTCAATGAAGAAGACAGACTGGCAGCCGCCCGGGATGGTGGCTGCCCCGACAAAGGTCGAGGACGCGGCAAGACGAAGACAAACACCGCATCTATTCTCGGGCCCGACGCAACAGCTCCGGTCCCATGGTCCCACTACGGTCTCTCTCAATGTGTGTACAAGCTACGCACGAGATTCCGCTATTGTCTGTGGTGTAACAGCGATCTCCACGGCACAGTGGGCTGCCCGTCGAAAGGCAAGGGCAAATCGAGAAACTGAGCACCGTCGGGAGTGACTCGACGACACTCTCGACACCTAAGGAACCGGTCACTTCACGGGTGACCGCCCTTCCTTCCGAGGCACATGCGGAAGTCGATAGTCCTCCTCTTCTATATTCTTATGAGGACTATGCTGCCCATCTCGTTCCTACGCTGGGTACTCATGCTCAAGGACAAGACGTGTGTGCGACATCTTCTCCGTCCGGCAGGGGCGACTTATCGTCTTCAAGTGGTTCTTCACGGGATTCGGCGCGCGGGTTCAACGTAGAGATCTTGGAACCGCTCACGTCGGAGGATTTCGCATGGCTTCCTCTCCCGACCACGGGCCGCTTGCCGGGACCGCAATGCGCAACATTATCCACTCATCTTCACACGTTCTATCCTTCTATGCACCACCAACTTCGCCGATGGATGACGAAGTCGCCGTGGGGGACATCCTTGCGTATGTTACCAAGGTGGCCAGCGAGTTTCGCAAGCAGCGGTACGATGACAACAACGCACCGCTCCTCTATGTCTGCATCCAAGTTGGGCAAGCGTCCTACAACGCTTTGCTGGATAGCGGCGCGTCTCGCAATTTCAAGAGCCAAGCCTTTATGCAGAGGGTTGGCCTTGGCGCACAAGTTCGGAGTAACGCAAACCCGGCGGCGATCAAGTTGGCGGGCGGAAGGACGGAGCAACTTATCGACCGGTACATTAAGGTCGTACCAGTGTATTTCGCACCTCATGCATGCGAACCGGTGACGTTCGACATTTTGGACATGGACTTCAACATTATTTTGGGAATGCATTGGCTTGCAAGTGCGGATCACACGGTCAACTTCCACTGGCGGATTCTTACCGTTCGGGACGCCTTCGGCGCCGAAGTGTCGTGTACTATTCCTCTTCCACACCCTTCGATCCGATGCCAAGTGGTGGCGTCCAAGTTGTTCCGGGATTCTTGCGCTTACGAGCAGCCCGACAAGATAGGTCTATGTTTCCTACGGACTGTCGCGGTAGCCAACTCTTCACCCACGGACTTGTCTTCGAACCCCTGTGTGGTACCGTTGCTTGACGAGTTCGCCGACATCTTCGAGTCACCTACCGGTGTGGTGCCGGATCGGCCGATCTCTCACGAGATCATTCTTGAGGCCAGTGTCGTGCCACCAGAAGGTTGCATTTATCGCATGAGCAAGAAGGAGTTTACGGTCCTCCACGCGCAACTCGATGACTTGTTGGACAAGGGTTGGATCCGCTCTAGTAGCTCCCCATATGGAGCACCAGTTCTCTTCGTACGGAAGAAGAACAAAGATCTACGATTATGCATCGACTACCGCAAACTTAACGAGCAAACCGTCAAGAATGCAGGGCCTCTTCCTCATATCGACGATCTTCTTGAGTGATTGGGTGGCGCAAAGTATTTTTCTAAGTTGGATTTGAAGCGGGATATCATCTGATTTCGATCCGGCCGAACGATCGCTACAAATCTGTGTTCAAGACGTGGTATGGACATTTTGAGTGGGTGGTCATGCATTTTGGCCTTACCAACGCCCCGACGACCTTTCAAGCGGCAATGACCAACGAGTTTCGTGCGCTGTTGGACCGGTTCGTGAAGGTCTACTCGTCTATAGCCGAACATTGGAGGATCATCTTGAGCATTTTCGGCGAGTGTTGGAGACGCTTCGTCGCGCCAAGTACAAAGCCAACCGTGACAAGTGTGAATTTGTCCGACAAGAGCTAGAATACTTGGGCCATTTTGTCACACCGGAGGGCATCACTGACATGGAGGTAGGATTGTGGAAGGGGGGGGTGCGCCAGGAAGAATTATGAGTGTGGTAGGTCGGGAGGGAGTCTCCTTGGAATAGGGGCCTCTATATAGACCACCGTGATAGCCACATGGCCGATCACAAAGGTGACTGTCATATGTCCATAATCTGACCTTTACAACAACCTGGGCTTTAAAAAAAATATTAAAAACATATAATAAAAAAATAGACTATTATTATATTTCCATGAATGAGGTAGTAGATCCTCCAATTAGTATCAAAAACAGATTGGACATCAATGGTATGGGACTGGAGAGTATTCAGGTGCAGAGTGAATATAGTTCAGGAGGTTCTTCTCTTTCCCTCAATTGTGTTTGCGTTTCTTTTTTGGGCTTAGGAGGACCCCACTGACCCACTGGCATTTTTGGTAAGCCTGCATTTTGCCCGTTACCACCCCTGGACTTTTGCTAACCCTTGGGCCTCAGCCAGGAAAGTCCTGAGTTTCTGTTTTGAAATGGGCTAGTGGTGCTGACAAAGTTGGTTTCGGTGTTTGGCGCTAGCACGAGCGCACTGACTGGACCGGCAGGTAAGGCCCTGCCATACTCCGGTCAACCTCCTTGGTATCCCCGAGGAGGGCGAGGGACCCTATCGCCATAGCTTCAGCTCATACCGAGCGACACTGGCAAAACGGAAAATCCCCTCGTGAAGCCCCTGGGCAGAACAACAAAAGCAACGGGGCGACTTCATGGCGACCATAACGGAGGAAGGACATAGTCGGGCAACGGGTTACAAGGGAGAAGCCATGGTGACCCCGACCGTCGAAGCGGTTATGGCGACGATGGACTGTGAGGACAACACTGCTCCATTGACAGCGGATTATCGCATCATGCATCAAGAAATGGTAGGTATGGTGACAACATAGTTGACAGATTGGTTAACGGAAACAAGGCAATAAGCAACCCACGTCTGCCTCACCGCTTGCTGGACAGATGTGCGGATTGTTGAACAAACGTTGGACGAGACAGAAGAAATATTGACATCAATTCCTATGAAGAGGCAGGAACGTAATCTTGCCTGGTTAAAGATAATCAACGGCGTGCAAAACTGTTGGGCGCAACTGAAAGAGCTTAGGGCGTTGTCGGTGACCTGGTACATTCCCTCAAAACCCTACTAACAGAGGAATCGGTGGAGGTGGGTTGGGACGCTGACGTGTAAGACGGCTGGATGGGCCTGCCAGCTGTCCTGTCAAAGGGAGGGGATGCGAGATGCTAGAGGAGAAGGTAGGTTTGGGTGTCTGTTTTGTTTTACCCTTGTTACCCCTTGTCCAGCCCTCCCAGCCTGTTCCCAGCACGTTGTCGGCCGGCTCCAGCCTTACGCCGCCCTTTACTTCCTTGAGGAAGACATTTGGCGGGAACCGGATTCGATCACTATCATAGATTTGGACACTGTTGTCCATAAGAATCTTCGACGGCGGGACTGTGCAGACAACATCAGGGTCAGGGCGTCAGGAAAGCGTGGTTCGCTGATTCAGAGGGCCCGGGGACCTTTTACGAAGGACACTAAGGATTTTTATTATCAGGGAAGCGTCAAAATGCCGTGACATCAGGAGGGAAGCCGGAAGCCTCAGCCGAATGCTGAGGACAGGGGATCTAGACTCATACTCGAGCCTTGGCAACGTGTGAAACGAGAAGGAGCGTCCGGGTCGTGCGGCAGGCATTTGAGGAACAAAAGCGCCGACAGGGGGAAACCGGAGACAGATAGAGAAGATAAGACCAGAGGGGGAAACCGCCGCGGGGCCGAAAGCGGAAGTAATTACTAAGTTGAGTCTAATGAGGCGCTAGCTTTTGGCGCATAAGTTGGCACTAAAGAAAAGTTGTCGAGCAGTGGACTAAAAATGAGCGCTCTAAAGGGCCTCTATAATTTTCGATGCCAGGCCTCTGCATTTTTAACGCTGAGCCGTACAGTCGAAAGACGGCCTCGGAAAAAGCGACTAGTGTCGGGCCTCCAAAATTCCCGACAGTTGGGCCCTCGTCGATTGGCATGTGACCATTCGGGACCCAAACAGGCTCGGGCCTAGGCTCGAGAAGAGGATCGATACACGGGCGCTACAATCCACTCGACAGCGCGCCCGACTCTCGATGGACCGGTGGCTGCTGCCGCAGGGCCCAGCAACGTACTTAAGCAGGACTGGGCCCGTTCTTGGGGGGAGCGGTCGGGAGTATCGGAGGGAGGGACTGGCGCACAAGGTGTGTTGGTTTTCCTCCCAGGCGGACACACTCGGGGGGGAAGGCTCCAATCAGGCGCGAACCGAGATAGCTTCTGGGTGAGAGTTCACGTGCACAAAAAGGTGCACAAGGAAGCCGATCAAGGGCTCAAATACACATGCCAATCAGTGCAAGGGAGACACTAATTAATCCACAGGGGGATGCGCACAAGAAAGGCGCCCAAGGCTGGCACATGGGTGCTGGCTCAAGTCGGGGCTAGTGTCGGGAAATGGGGGTCCCCTAAGGCACGACGTGAGTGCTTTCCGGAAGGCCACACCTAGAGGAGGGGGCGGGCTTCATTCAGGCACGGAAGCTCAAGCTCCAGAACGCACGAGACAACTAATTAGCCGTGCGACTAACCGTGCGCAAGAGTAGGTAGAGGGTCAAGCCCATGCACCTCGAGAGAGAGTGGAGTTGCGCAGGAGGCTAAGAATTGCACACGGAGGTAGAACGACTACGCATGGGCGAAGAACGGCTACTCGCAGTTAAGAGTTGTCGTGCGAATAGCAGATGAGCGGGCGCGCAAGAGGAATGAGCAGCGCAGACAAATTAGATATGTGCGAGAGAGGAGACCGTGCGGAGTAGTGGTTCTGCTGCTCATGGAGGGAGGAGCTGCTGCGCGAGGAAGGAGTTTTTGCGGGGGGAACGAGTTGCGCACGAGGGAAGAAGCCGCGCGAAGCAGCGGAGCTTGCCCAGGGAAGGAACTTTTGCGCGGGGGGATGAACTGCACGAGGAGGAAGAAGTTGCACAAAGCAAAGGAGCTTGTGCGCAAAAGGGCACCTACGAGAAGGAGCAGCACGCGGGAAGGAGCAGAGAGAAAGAGAGAGAGAGAGAGAGAGAGAGAGAGAGAGAGAGAGAGAGAGAGAGAGAGAGAGAGAGAGAGAGAGAGAGAGTGATCCCTCCAAAAGTGTTGACGCGATGTGATTTTTGCCTAGTGTTTTGAAGCTAAAGTGGAGAAATAAAATTGAGCGCAGGTAAACGACGGGAGTAACTATGACTCTCCTAAGGCAGCCAAGGCCTCGTCATCTTATTAGTGACGCACATGAATGGATTAACGAGATTCCCACAATCCCTATTTACCATCCTGCGAAACCACAGCCAAGGGAACGAGCTCAGGAGCATCAGCGGGAAACGAGGTGAATGCCACGTCACCTAATTAGTGACGCGCATGAATGAATTGACGAGATTTTCACTGTCCCTACCTGCAATCTCCAAAACCACAGCTAAGGGTACAGGCTTGGAAGAAACGGCTGGAGTGACGGCACGTCATCTAGTAAGTGATGCGCACGAGTGAATCAACGAGATTCCCACAGTCCCTATCTTCCATCCTGAAAACGGCAGAGGCAATGCCTCGTCATCCAATTAGCGACGCGCATGAAAGGATTAACGAGATTCCCTCAGTCCCTATCTGCCATCCTGCTAGATCATAGCCAAGGGAACGGGCTTGAAAGAATCAGCGGGAAAAGAAGACTCTGTTGTGGCGCATGTGATTGGGATAACGAGATCCCAACTGCCCCTTTCTACCACCCTGCGAAACCACAGCTAAGGGAAACTAGCTAGGAAGGAAGAGGGGAACTGTGCGCACCAGCGAAAAGAGGTGTGCCTGATCGGTTGATCCGACCAACTGGGCTCGCTGGTGGGGACGCGCATTCGTCCAGACCAGACCAGACCAGGCCAAACCAGGCCAGACCATAACAGGACCATACCGGACCGGGCTCAGACCAGACCAGATAAGGCCAGACCAGGCCAGGCCAGAACAGGACCAGACCGGACCGAACTCTGACTAGACCAAATGAGACCAGACCGAGACCAAGGGCATGGCCAGATGCTCACCCGAGTGAGCCAAGGCGTTGTCTTTTCCTACAGCCGAGCGGGCTTCAAGTCGCGGAATCAGATCAGGAATCGGGCCTCAATAGGCCCGCGATACTACTTCGCGCTCGGAGGGCTCTAACACAATCCCTTGGGACCGACGGGAGCGGTACCGATAAACAACCCATTGATCAAGGGATCCAACGAAGAATTCTGACACGTTCAGTCTCAACACAAACCGCACTCCTGGACGGGCGTGAGGGAGGTTGCCCTGGGATAGGGTGTAGCGCGTCTGCGCTGAACTTTATTGACTGAATAAAACAATTTCCTCGTTCTTTCTGCATTTTTGTGAGTCGTCCACCTCACACCTTGTTTTCCTATCCGGCTTAGAGGTGGATTTTGCAGGTTACAGGAACTCGAAACTAGCCCTCCTGCGGGTGACAGACGAGGGGCGGACATAGGGTTAGATCCGCAGGCCGGCAGACCCCTTCTACAGGTCGACAACGTCCATTGCCTCAAGTGATGACGATAAGGGATCTGGAGTGGATGTGCCTTCCACCTGTCCTGTGGAAGGGAAGGCAAGCAAGATGCTGGAGGAGGTGGAG